AAGTCAAGAAGTGGTCGTAGGTATATGGGCTCTACATAATTGAGACTATGTTACGAAATTTATTTCGAATTCTATGCGTAAAAAAAAAAGAAAAAAAAGGAAAAACTAAACTGCCTATATTTAAATATTACAATTTTATCAGTAATTATAGCCCAATTCAACAATGTTGTGTATATATATGGTCTAAAATTTAACACCTAAATACTTTATGATTTAATTTAAAGTTCAATCTAAGCTACAAATCCCAGACATAAATGTTGAAAATTGACAACAATATCGCGTTGTTCCCGCGTAAAAGTCAAAATGACGTTGACTGACAATTAGTATCACAAATATCGTTAATGACAACAGATTCGAATTGAACACCTAATTTTAATTAACACCTACAATTTGGAGTAATAAGTTGTCAATATTTAATTGCATCAAATCAATATTAAACAAGTTTTTAATTGTATGATTAAAAGTCATTTTTGGTGGCTTAATCCCATTGGACCACTAATCCTTCTATGGGCCCCATTTCTAATTAAAAATTGATTAAATTTGAAATCATCCTTTCTCATCAAAATTTTCTATATTATCTCAATTAACTTTGCGAAAATTGCAGCTTTCGTCCCTCAAATTTGTATCGATTCCGCATTCGTCCTTCATGTTTATATATAGCACATTTGGTCCCTCCTCCCTCATGTTTCATAAATTGAACATTTTCAATCATTTTCATCAATTTTTTGTTAGTACTAACGAAATCAAGCGTGTGCGCATCACTGTCTTGAATTGACGGACTAACGATAAATTGATGGAAATTGCTAAATTATCGAAAGATAAGAGATCAAATCTGAAATAAGTACAAACTTGAGGTTGAATTTGTAATATTATTCCCAAATAACTTTATTTTATTATGGACACAAGAGTCTTCTCCAGCTTTCATATGATGTATCACCATTAGTGCATTAGATAGTCTTAATTAATCAATAAAGACACTTTAATACAAGCAAGTGACACATATAAAAAACTTATAGTGCACAATCAGCTCCATATCATACTTAATTTAATCCATGGTTAAAGTAATTAAT